AAGTGGTTTTGGAAAGATGATTGGCTTTGAAGCCATGATAGTCATCAGAAGATTAGTTAACCGATGAAGCTATAGCCCAATCTGATGTTGGGAGGTGAAGCCTGGTTGGAGGAGATGGGTCACTGTGGGGACGGCCTGCAAGTGTCTATACCGTCTTTCCCCTCTCCACCCCTTCTCTCTTCTTCCTGCTGCCGCGCCAAGGCTGTTTTTCCATTGTCCTGTCTCTCTGCCATGTGGCTTTGCCTTGGAACAGTTAAGTATGGACTGAAAACCTCTACAAACTGTGAGCCAAAATAAACCTCCTCTCCTTATATCTGTGAGTGTTGAGTATTTTGTCTCAGTGACATAGAAAGTCACTAACTGGGGAGATAGCTTAGCAGTATAAGCATCTGCCTAGTAAGTGCCGTGCCCTGAGTTTGACCCCTAGTACTAAAATAATAATAATAATAATAATAATAATAATAATAATAATAATGTTACTAGGACAGGGAGTAATGGTGCATGTAGAATAGAGATATTATGTTGCATCTTAGGAAAGCAAGATATGATTCTTAGAGTAGTACGGAATAAATGTGGCTGTGTACTTCTTCCCTAAGGTTAAGAAGGGGTGATGAGAAGACTCAAATTGTGGAGTGATTTCATGGGAAGGATTTTCCAGGATATGTATTCTGTCTCATTGTCCAAATGTCATGCCACATTGTTATGACCACCTCATGTCACTCATCTACTTGATTTGGCTCCCTCATTTTGAGAGCTAGGCAAGGCAATCTGACTGGTATTGGAGAAGAGAATGACGTAGATATTTCTAGTTTTTATTGAAAATCTTTCTTTTACCTGTGGTTTAGAGTTATTCAAAATTTTTCAGAATCAATTTAATGACAAAGATTTGATTTTTGCTTGTAAAATCCGTATGTCTAGGAAAAGAATATGTATGATTGGGAACATTTTGAAGAGAGAATAACATGAAAGAAAGAAACATGACAGTGAACATATATGACATCTTGTGAGAATTCTAGTGTGTTGGCAAGTACTGCTCACAACAGAAAGAAGTTTCATCACTTTTCATAGTTAATGAAAAGCATAAGTGAAGGATAATAAGAATAAGTTGTGATGTCCTGACTCATGGATAAATCTTTGTCTTAGTTATTTTGATGATACTCAACTTCCAAAGTTAAGGAATGAAAGGTTTAGTTCACAGTTTGTAGAGGTTTCAGTACATAAGAAAATAGCTCCGGGGAGGGTGCCATGGTGAAGGGGCAACTGTTCAAGGTAGTGGAAGATGGCAAAAGCATCAGGAGCAGGCAGAGCAGGCCCCTTTCCCTCCCTTTTATTGTATGCAGGTTACCCGCCCTAGCTGGGTGTGGCAGCCTCTACGCCCTACTCTTGCACATGTTCAGGATGTCCTCATAGCGAGGACTGTGGCCCCCTCTGAGTCACTTAGTTAAACTTCTAAACTTCTCAAGTTGATACAGTGAGTCAACTGTAACAATCTTAATGATAAAAAATGTACTAAAACCAAAACTATGTGACAAAGAAGGCATAATTGCAAATCACTGTGAAATAACAGCACAGAATCTTTTCTTTTTTCAGTATCAAATTAGTACCAATACTAATGGAAAATGATATATTTACCCCAGAATCTGAAAGTATTTTTTAAAATAGAAATTGAACAGAGAAGGAACCATTTGTCATTGTTATGGTTTGTGTCTAGTTGTCCCCCCAAAGCCTCATGCAGTCATGGGGCAGACTTCTAGACTTTGTGATTAATTCATGATCAGTGTTGGGATTATGGGTGTGAGTGCTGCTGGGATTATGGGTGTAAATTCAACTGGGAGTATGAATGTGAGTCCTACACCTGGCCTGAGGCAGATAGCCTGAATGCAACATAAGGCAGACAGACTTGTTCTCTATTGTCATTGTTGCCGCTACTCGCATTTGTTCTTGCTGTTTTGCTGTTTTTCACCACTATGAACTGCTGCCCTCTGCCATGAGGCAGTCTGCCATGGAGACAGCTGAGGATAGACTGAAACCTCTCCAAAAGCTGAGCTAAATAAACCTTTGCTCCTTTAATTTTGGATGTCAGGAATTTGTCCCAGGAAGAAGAGAAACTAAGAGGCTCATAATCAAAGATCATTTTTATAAATCTGTTTTGGTAAGATATTTTAATAAATGTAGGGGGTAATGGAAAAAACATTGAGGCTTATACTGTATTACTGAAAGTTGACCACTTAAATAGGTATTTATTTATTTATTTATTTATTTGTTCTTAGTGCAGTAGGACTACTCAAGATTTTGGTGGCCGGGCAATGTTATGCTAACTTTGGAAGACCCAAACCAGAGCTCATAACACAGGATTACTTGTGAATATTTGCACTTCCATTCAGGCTTAAATGAAAGATACTCTTAAGCATTTTCTGTTCAGAGCAAGAAATACTGAGAACAAGTTGTGCCCCATAATTTACGGCATCATCAGTCATTCATTTCTTCATTCAACCTGTAATCCATTCTTCCCACTTCTTCTCAACATTAGAATTTGCATTTAAAAACAATTACATGACTGAAAAATTTCTACTTACTCTCTCTGCCCAGAAGATAATGTTCAATTGCTAGGTGTGGGCATGACATCTTTCCCATTGACTTGGTTTTATTTCATTTTCAATTCATTTTTTATTCTTGCTGTGCTTTATCCCACAAATTCTAATTCAGTTCTGTCTGTCTGTCTGTCTGTCTGTCTCTCTCTCCCTCCCTCCCTCCCTCCCTTTTTTTTTTCCTTCCTTCCTTCCTTCCTTCCTTCCTTCCTTCCTTCCTTCCTTCCTTCCTTCCTTTTTCTGCATTTAGGACAGAGTCTATAGGGTCTCACTACGGAGTAGTGATTCTCCTGTTTTGAGACTCCCAAGTGTTGAGATTACAGGTGTGCATCACCACACCTAGTCTCCATTGCTGGCACAGCAACCTGGGGATGAAACTGCTGCCGATGCACTCTGCCTAAGCAGGTGCTTTAGTCTGCTGAGCTATCAGGCTGGCCCTTAATTCAGTGCTTCATAAGAATTACCTGAAGACTCTTTCCATCAGAATTAAAAGTGCAGATTCTTGGGCCTCACTTGGACCTGTGAAATTAGAATTTTAGGGAAAGTAGGAGGTTGGGACATTTTAATGAACCCCCTCCTATCACTGAAATTTGAGTCACTCCTAACTGCTCTGAATCTCAATGCTTTGGTTAGACCTTTGTAGGAACTTTTCAAATAATTTACCACTAAAATGCATGTCATCATTTTCTGGCCAGAAATATTATCTCTAAAAAAGAAGAGTCCATCCCTTAGGAAAAACAAAACAAACAAAACAAAAACTCTGTTAACTGCAGGAAGAAGGAAGGATATCATTCTACTGACTCAGAGTAGATGCAGAGGTCATCTTAAAAAATTCTCAGTGGTCTATTAGAACCCTGGTCCTTCTCGTGATCTATTCCCAAGTCTCCTTACTTCTTTTTTCATCAAATATCTACACTTGCACCATGAACCCAGGCAGCTTGAAATGTCATTTGTCTTCTGCCTGTGGACCTTCCCTGGACTGCTGGGCTCCACTCTTCTCAAGACCCAGTACAAATGTTACTTCCTCTAGGATGCCACCTTTGGCTTCACGTGACTCTGTCACTTCGCTCTTTATGCTTACATCCAGTTTCACATGTGTCATCTCATGCATCCTGGATGTAACTCCAGCTTCCCCAAGCTGCAATGTATGCAATACAGAAATGTGGTCAGATAAGGCATAGCGTCTGAATTTAGTAATAAATTTTTACCTGGAAGCTCCAAGGCTGGGTCTTCCTGTGGTCAAGGAGTAAGTGCCTTCATTCCATCTCTCTCTGCTTCAACTGTACAACAAAAGAAGCCTTCACACAACCCTATCCTCAGAGGCAGGCCACTTCCCCAGAAGCTCATTGGGTTGGCCAGCAGAATCAGCTTTTTCTCTCATCTAAGCTTTGCCCCCTGCACAGAGAAAGACGGTGCTTTGAACTCCAGGGGTGTTAAATGGCTCAGGAACATAATTTTAAAACTGACAATCGGATAAACACCAGAGTAAGCACCAGGGGATGAAAGCATAAGCAGGGCTTGAGATGAGCCAGCTGACACCACCGGAGGCTGAACCTGGTTCCAAGTTTCCTGGCAGCCACAGCATGAAACGAACACCTGTTAGCAGATGCCATTGTTTATCCTTGTCAGACAAAAGTAGGGCTGCCAGATGAGATGCTTTCTACAAAATCCATGATGTGTAGCCCAACACAAAGGTGAGTCCGGAGCCAGTGAGTACAACCAAGAGATAAAAGACAGAAGAAAGATTGTTTGTGTAAGTAGAGAACGAACTAGGGAGAATTCCATAAGCAGTGTCTTCTAAACAAGAAAGCAAGGGGATTTTATCGGGAAGCTTGTGCATATTAATGAGATAATAATAAGCAAGGTTCACTCTAGGTCGTGCACCTTGCAGCTTTCCTTGGAAAGTCTTACCTGAAACTAAAAGGAGGAAATTTAGGAGTCATTTAAAAGAAAAAGGCCCCCAGCCTCCAAGTTGTCTCCAAAGTACCCTCAGGGCCCCTAATTGCAGCTCTTGATAAGTCCCTCAGCAAGCAGCATTCCTTCAGACCCGGGTTCCTAGCCACCCACCCCAAGGAAAGCAGCCCAGGGACTCAGCCCCGACGTCCTCTAGCAGCGACCCTGTGGGACTGAGGGGATGGGGTGGGCGCCCCTTTTCCCTCCAGCTGTCTGCAGGACCCTAAGCCGCGACAGCTTGCTCCTTCTAATGTCCTGGGGCAAGAAGCCTTTGCGTTTTGCTCTCAGGAAAGACAGAGGGTGGCCTTACAGCTGTGAGCCGACCAGCCGCACATGGCCCCACGGGTGGTGGGGCGGGGGCCGGCGAGGGAGGGGCGGGGCCTGGGCGAGGCGTGGCCTCCAAGGGGCGTGACCCCCAGCTGGGCGTGGCTTCCCGGGGAAGGGGGCGGCGCCGGCCGCGCAGAGGGAGTGCGTCACCTGACGGCCGCCTGCCCATCCGCCCGGCGGTCGCTGGCTCTCTCCCGCAGTCGCCGACAGTCCAGTTGCGCCTTGCCGCGCCTGGGCTCTGGTGAGTGTGTCGGCAGCGGGTCAGCGGCGAGGTCGGACTTGGGGTCGGGTTCGGGGTCGGGGTCCGAACGGGGCGGGACGCAGCGCCCGCCGGAAGGGGCGCCCGAGCTGCCGCTCCGCGTGGCCCGCGCCTTGTTTACGCCCCGCGCTTCTGCCTGGCCGGCGGAGCGCAGCGCGGCCCCGGTCCTCGCGCGAGCCGGGGGCGCGGGGCGGCTGCGGGACCCCAGGTCCCTCCGGAGGGCCGCCCTTGTTGGAACTGCGCCCGCGCGCTGCCGCCCGGAGCTCACAGTGGGTGCGGGTGGGCGCCGGCGGGGTTGGCGGCTTTGTGCTCGTGGGGCCCCGCGGGCGCCCTGGCCTGTTCTTCGCGCCCGGCAGCTTCCTGTCGTTGAGTGGAATCGCGCGTTTGGATTGCTCATAGGCTGCGAGCCCGCCTGGCGTTGCACTCGGGCTGATCCGAGGTGGAGTAGAGTAGTAATTGTGAAAGAACGTGTGTGGGAAAAACAGGCTGCGACGTCATGCTTGGAAGAACAAAGACTGTTTTGTAGGATGCTGATCTTCTCGCAGAATTGTATCGGTGCCGGGACTTTACCCATGTTAGATGCCACGACTGGGTCGTTCTTTGTGTATTTGCACACTCTCGATCCCAGAGGGTTTGCATTTTTAAGGCAGCTCGTGAAGATAAAGGAGGGGAAAGCCAGGGTGTTGGTGACAAAGTGCTCGAGAGCTTCACTTGCTATGTCAGGAAGAGAAATGGGAAGAGGTGTCAGCCTGGTTCTTCCTGGTCCTGGTAGTGTTGCAAGGGTTGGGCTGAGTGGGCTGGACTTGAAGGCACTTGCCACTTCTGCGTCTGGACAGCTTAAGCTTGGGGATGGGAGGGGATGGGGGTTGGGGGATAGGGGTGTGGGCTAGAGAGGCTTCGGATGAGTCAGCCAGTAGGGTGGCCCGGGTTGTTTAACCTGAGTATCTGTCAAGTGGCTGACCATAGCTCAGTATTTTCGTTGGGTAACAAGGTAGGATGACTCTTTAAAGTTGGGTTGCTGAGTCATTCGCCCCAGCCTGAGAGGTAATTAGGAACAGCTGTGCAGACACGCTGGTCACATGCCTCCACTATAAAAGGCCAAGGAGCATGAGAGAGGGCTAGCTGTGGAAGGCCAGAGGGAGTCCAGCTGGAGCCCTGTGTTATGGTACAGGTAATCAGTGGGTGAAGTGCACGAGCACTCTTAGGAAGTGGCCAAGTAGCAGGGAGGTGGTGTTTAAACGACAGGGCAGCCTCGTGACCTCCTGCTGGAAAACACATTTATGGTGTGGAGCGAGCTAGGACCGGGAGAGACACTTGCAGCTAGGAATAAGCCAGTGAACACTAGTGTAAATAAGACATTCACCACGCTTAATGAACTCCGTGTCTTGTTTCTTTTTTGTGGTTTTGTTGCTCAGTGATGTAAACATTTCACAAAGTGAACTGAATTTGTTCTTTATAATAATTTCGTTATGAGAACACAGAGGGGGACCTCCTCTTGTTTTTTATTGGCTCGTGGGCTTTCATGCATACAGGAGTAGTTCTGGGGTCAGGAAGGTAAGAAAAATACGAGTGAAATTAGAAGATCTTAATTAGGTCAAGTCTGAAAAGAACTGTCTTTTGAAAGGCAAACAATGTGTGTATGGGGTTGGTGGCCTTACATCCTGTGTCATTGCTTTTTTTGTTAAAAAAAAAAAAAGACTGTCAACGCATTCAGTATTGTCCTCAATGCAAGCAAAGTTTAGGAATGGGAAATGTGGAGATAGAGATCTAGCCCCTGGGGCAAAAGATTGATTAGCTTTTGTTGAAGGTAATTTAAAACCTTTTGTAATAGGAATAATGATTATTTTGTTGCTTTATGTTGGAGAGAGATTAATAATCATATTTTTAGGTATAAAAGTCCCAAAAATGTACTACAAGGTGATTCATCTGGGGGGAAAAAAGTTAAATCTTTACATTTTGAAACTATTGTTAAGGGGCTGGGGAGATGACTCAGTAGAATAAGTGCTTCCCTGGCAAGCGGAAGGGCCTGAGTTCAATCCCCAGTTCCCCTTCCCCCCCAAAAAAAAAAAAAAAAGAAAAAGAAACTTTACTGTTTATCTAAAATAAGACCTGAAGTTTAAAGGCACAGATTAAGAGTAGTGAATGCATATTTTATAGGGTAGGTGTTTGTCCCTCATCCTCACCTTTTTTTCTGTTTTGAAATTTTGTTCAGCAGTAACATTTAAGACTGAAATATTGTTTTCTTTATGCTTATTTCTTTTTAAAAGCTATCGTTATTTCAAAATATTATTAATATTCAATTTTTAGTACCTATGTAGTTCTGCCTATTTTATATTGTACAGTAGTTATAGATTAGCACCTTGAGTGTAAGTTCTTAATACATTATTGTAGTAAGAGATGGAAATAAACAAAATACAGTTACTCTTGATCCCATTCTCTTTTGAATTTGGAGAGAAGCTGAACCCTTCATTTGCTTAATGTATATCTTATAGTGATATGTCATCCAGTGGCATGCTAAAGGCGCAGTGGAGGCATTTGAAGATCATTTACACTAGAACATAATGTGTGTGCAGTATAGCAGATGCCTTTACAAATTGGTCTGTTACTCACTGAATGGCTGTTTTTTTCTTTGTCTCTCTCTCTTCCTTTCTTTTTGCCATGCTTATATCCTATTAATGAGAATAAATGAGACGAGGGTTCAGCAAATCCCTTCCTGGGTAGTGGCATTTATTCAGAAAATCCACCTCTCAAGAGTGCTGAATGTTGGCTGGTATTTTAAATCTCATGTGCCTTTTACACCCTTATATTTTGAGAGGTGCTGCTGAGAATAAAACTGGCAAAACCCTTTGAAATTACTCATGGTCAGGTTTTTTTCCTCATTGCTGGTCTGGATTTGAGGAATCATCTCTTTGCAGTTTTCTAATGTTCTTTCAATGGGAGAACTGCTTAAACTTTAAAGCCTGCATCTCCTGAGGGTTCTATGATATGGAGGATTTATGTGGTATAACAGATGATTTATGAGATTATTTTTATTTTAAAAATATGCCAAATAAGGGAATCTACCGTGTCCCAGGTGTAGGTAATTTGAGTGCTATTTACCAAAATCCAGGCTCTTTGGAGAGAGCAAACATTTCAGGGCTCCAGATAAAATGCTTATTTACATCTGCATGAAGCCTGGACTTCTTCTGGCTTTGGTGTATAGCGATAGCAGAACAAACCACTTGTGGTCTGGTAATTGTACAGTGTAGCAGTAAGTAGAAGCAAGGAGTCCGATTGCGAAAGGTCAAATTCTGGCTGTGTCACCCCTTTGAAGCCTGAGGCAAGCCATTCCACTTGGTAATGAGTGCCCTGTCTTGTCTGTAAACTAGGAATGGGAGTAATGAATCTGTGTCATAGATTGTTTTGAGGATTAAAAGCATTAATATATAGGTTAAATGGTTAGAACAGTGCTGGGTCAGAGTTAAACATTAATACATGGTAGGTGTTATTTTCTGTAGTCCAGAATCAGGGAAGTGCTCAGTTAACACAGCTGCAGAAAGCTGAATTGTAACCGTTGACCAAAAGTGAGACTGAGGGGAACAGCAGGTCGCTGTACTGGAGGAACAAGTCAAATGAACAGTCTGATAGGTTAGCAGCTCCACCTCAGACACACACCCACCTTCTGAGGGCAGGGTGCCCAGGACATAGTGTTTTTTAAAAAGTAATCTAACAGTCTCAGCAGAGTGCTCTGCAGCATATTTGCTCTGTCATTACCATGTAATTGAAGTTGGCTTTTTTACTTTGAAGAAATGAAGATACTTGGCATTTTCTGTCTAGTTGCTCCTCTGTATTACAGTTGAAAGCATTGTGGCTCTTCAGGTTTAGTAACCTGTCTGCTCCCTCCCTTATGACTACGAGAGCAGAATTTGCTTTGTGATCCTTGCTCCTGGACTCCATCCAGTTTAGGACATTTGGAATGTACGTTTACCTGTCAGGTGCTTTAAAGGAGTGTGTTTTCTTTAGATGGTCTGTCCATACTAATATAAAGAAATTATGCATGGTGTAGCTATGAGGACAATGGGGATGTTTGTCATATAGTTTGCTGTACCTGTTAATACTTCAGAAAGGTCAGGTCAAACATTTTGACCACTCTTCCAACCAGAGTGTGAGTTTGCTTCTGGTGAAGTTTGTTTGTTTTCCCTCATGGCACGCTGAATGTGCTTTGTGTTTGTTTACTAAGTGATCTGTTGGTTGCTACACTGGGTATTTGAGTTCATTCTAGTCCTGTGGATTTTGAAACTAGGAATTTTTTTTTAGCAGATTTTTAACACCATTCCTCATAAGTTTTATTAGGTATATACTGAGTTGAGACTTCTTCAGTTGTTTAGATTACTGTTTTCACCATTTGTGTAATTACTGAGGAAGCAGCTGAATTTGCATCATTTTTCGACTTTATCTTCTGAGATAGAAGAAAATTTATGACTTCAACTATAATGGAGATTGTATTAGCAAATGCAGTTTGTATTGATCGGTGTTAACTATCACATAGAGGTAGTACGTTTAATGTCATTCTTTTACACAACCGAGTCTTTGTTTTATTTAGGATAAGGGAGAGTTTAGAAAGTATTAATGGAATTATAAAAATTACCCCACGGTAAACAAGGCACAAAGAAAGCCTGCTTGCCAGGGTCTTGTTTGTTACGGAATGGTGTAGGAGCACAGTGGGCAAGCAGTGCGGTGGGCTAGCCGTTAGATCCCTTCTCAGCGTTGGTGCGGCATAGAAAACATTACCTCAGTGACCCTGAAGCCATGTGCAAGCCACATTCATTTAAAAATAAGTTTAAATCTTTTTTCTTAATGCCTTAAGACACTCATTGTTCAAAAGAGTTATCTTTTAGGGTTGGGGAGATCACTCAGTGGTCTAAGTGCCTGTATGGCAAGCACAAGGACTTGGGTTTCATTCCCAGTACCACATGCTGTGCTGGCCCTGAAACTGGGCATGG